GAATCTTTTTTTCCAATTTTAAACAGCGCTTAACTGTTCCCTTCCTCTGTCGGCACAACAGCTTGTTGGTTTAGGTACAGGTTTCTCATGAGTACTATTACATGTTCTGGGATTCCCATTTTTCTCAATGTTAGCCATAATTTATTATGAGCCACCCAGTCAAATGCCTTTGCATAGTCAACAAAGCACAAATAGACATTCTTCTGGTATTCTCTTCACTCAGCCAGGATCCAACTCACATCAGTAATAACATTCCTGGTGCCACATCTTCTGAATCCAAATTGAACTCTTGCAGTTCCCTGTCTATAACATTCTAGACATCTTTGTATTGATCTTCGTCAGTATTTTGCTTGCATGTGATATTAATTATATTGTTCAATAATTTCTACATTCCGTTGTATCACTTTTCTTGGGAATGAACACAAATATGAATCGCTTCCAGTCAGTCTGAAAGGAAAATACGATGAGGCATTATATGTATATGACAACAATCCGGAACAAGAAGTGCATTGCAAAGTAGACTGGAGGAGGTAGAAAGAAAGGAGGGGGAGGAAGGAAAATGTGCAATAATAAAAAAATAAATAACCAATCTTTCTGTAAACTTTTGTTAACATTACAATTTTTTTTTAAGTTAATGCCTTTGGATTGTAGTGTTTGCCAAGAGTACTAAATACCCCATGAACTGCCAAAAGACCAAACAAGTCTTTATTGGAAGGTATGCAATCAGGCAGCTGTTCTCCAAATTTCCTGGCACAGACTGGTGAATGCAATCAGAGCTGCATCTGTCATTTGAAACATGTCACTTGGTATCTCATCATTTCCTGGGGCCTTTTTTTTCTTTTTTCTCCAAGACTTTCAGTGCAGCTTGAACTTCTTCCTTCCTTATCATGGGTTCTTTATCAGACACTATTTCCTGAGATTTTTCAGTGGCAGCCAGTTCTTTCCGGTACAGTGATTCTGTTATTCCCTCCATCTTCTTCTTATGCCTCCTGAATCATTCCAGATTGTGCTCATAACATTTCTTGGAAATCCTGTGTTTCTACTCTACACTACATTGTTTTCACTTTTGTTCTGTGTCCTTGAGTCTGCTAGGACTTCTAGTGATCCCATTAACAACAGATAGAAGCCTTTCCCTTTTCTGAACCATTCTCACAATCTCTAACATACCCAAATCCATTGTTACAATCACTGTCTCAATTTATCATTTTTAGCATCTTCCTCTATTTCTCTAAACTTCTATCCTTACCAACATGATATCTTTTTTCCAAGGCCTCCTGAAACATGTACAGAATATATGAGACAAAGTTTCAGCATCCTTGCTTCAAAGGAGCACCCTGATTGCACTTCTTCCAAAAAAGACTTTTTTTGTCTTTTGGCAGTCCAGTCCATGGGATATTTTGTACTCTTGGTGACCCAACAATTCAAAGACAGTGTGTTGTTGTTAAGTGCCATCGAGTCGCTTGTGACTCATTATGACCCTATGCACAACAGCTCTAAACTCTGCTCTGTCCTGTGCCAATCTCATGGTCTCCCACACACTCATACCGATAGCCCCAGTAGCCGAATCAATCCACCTCCCAGAGGGCCTTCCCCTCCTGCACCGGCCCTCCATCCTCCCAAGCATGATGTCCTTCTCCAAGGACCGGTCTCTCCTTACAACGTGACCAAATTATGTCAGACGAAGTTTCAGAATTCTTGCCTCCAAGGAGCAGCCAAGTTTAATCCTCTCCAGGATGAATCTGTTTTCTTAGCAGTCCATGGTACCCTCAGCACTCTTCTCCAGCACCAAAGCTCAGAAGCATCAATTCTCCTTCTATCCTCCCTGGTCATTGTCCAGCTCTACAGTAAGGTTGGGTTTTTATTTATCTATTGTTGCACATTTTCCTTTCTCCCTCTCCTGACTACCTCCTCCAATCTATTTTGCAATGCACCTTTTGTTCCAGATCGTTGTCATATACTTATAATGCTTAATTATATTTTCCTTGAAGACAGTTCTTCCCTTCATCTATTCCAATACAGTGTTCATTATCTAGCCACTCTCAGGTTCTTCTATCATTTTTAATTGTTGTCTGACTTTGAGATGCATAGGAAGCCATTGAAAATTATTTGACTTGGATCAGCTACCCCTTAGTCT